TTGCTTTATTCTCTAAGATCCCTCAATTTCATCGAAGCTCATTTTGTGTGGTAAGCCTGTGGTGAGGCACAAGCTTTGTGACTCAATCATATGACCCAACACTTCCCGCCCCCTTACAAAACAATGCCAAACTCACTGCTGTACTGATGAGGTACGCCAAACTCCTGCAGCCATTCTGTTAACGCGAGCCTCAGAGCCATCTGCGGACTATAGAGTACATCGGTTTCAAGATCTTCATCACTGCCTTCCTTTTCTAGCTTTATCTGGATTGATACGGTACTGTCTTCACTGTCAGCTGCAAGAAAAAAGCAAGCATAAAAACTGTTGTTATGACAAAGGCTCCTGGCACGTGAGAGAAATATAAAGCACTAGTTCTAGTAAAACCACAAAAGCAAATAACTGAAACGAGAACAAATTTGAAATCTAAGAATGTCAACATTTCACATGAACCTAACACACTTCTAAATAAATGTAAAACTTAAACATAATTATATGTGAAAACAAGATTAATTTTAAAATCACCAGTCACTCAAGAATCATTTGTAATGTGAAGTACAAGACCCCATGTTTTAAATCTGTGTCTCCCACAGTGGGCAATAAGCACCCTCTCGGGCACTGGAGCAACCCTTGGGGGCTATAAAAGCAGATACCTATCTACAGCTTATCCTGGAGGACGGGCTTTAGTACAACATTTTTCATTGCCAGGGAGATGCTAAGACATTTTTTTTTCCTGAAAAAATGGTGTAAGGTCAAGTAAATTTGGGAACTATGCTTTATTTTTTTGGGGGGTGGGGGTGGGGGATAGGAACCTATGCTTTACATAAAGGTAACATCCCCTACCTCTAAGGGGTTTATACAAAGAAGCCCTGGTGGTGTAGTGGGTTAAGCATGAACAAGGCTAGGCATTATACACCATCAGTCGGCTCCTCGAAGGAAAGATAAGGCTTTCAACTCCTGCAAATATGCACAGGCTGGGAACCAACAGGGCAGCTCCACTCTAGCCTACACAGTCACCGTGAGCCAATTAGGAGTGAGGAAGGGGCTTATAACTAGGTGAGGGAAACAAACAGGAAAAGAATAATGGGCATGAAAATAAATACCTTGGGGGAAGACAGAACAGAAAACTGATATAAAGCCCAAATATACAGACTGTTACCTATAAATGTACCACAATAAAGGAAAAATCAACAATTTTGAAAAAGATAGTAAGGATGGCCCATGATGAACACGCTGATGCCATGGTGTGTACATGTAAGAATTGCTGAATTGGCAAATACTTTGTTATTTTTTACAATGAAAAATAAACAACATTATCTTCTTTAGAACTCTATTAAGTATTTTTTACTAAATAAATTTACAAAGATAAAAAATAAACACATTACATAAACTTAAGGGAAATCTAAATGATATGTCAAGTAACTCAGTGCTATCTAATCATCCAAACAAAACATTCCATTTGCAATCAGGGTAACAGGAATATAAGACTGACTACAAAGGTTTCAAAGGCTGAGTTCTAGTTTAAAAACGAATAAATGAGACCAAGAGATTAAGGAACCTATCCAAGGCCATTCAGAATGTCTCTTATTAAAGTCTTTCTGCTATCATATACATGATCTCATTAACAAGACTAACCAATATAGCTTAATAAAACTGCTGAAATTGTGATGACAAAGGAATACATACTTGCCAACAGCTGTAGTGAACTCTATTCTCAAAGTCAAGGGTCAAGTAGAGTCTACTCACTCATTACTACATCCTTTCTCACTCCGTTCATGTTTGATTTGTACCATGTAGCAAGGGTATGGATAGCAACATAATTGGCTTCAAATTCACAATTTGGGTTAGTCAGGACCCCTTTTAGCCGTGGGATGAGTTCTGTGGATCTTCCTTTGTATGGACCCAGAAACAGCCTCTTCTGGTCATAGTCATTAGCATGAATGTTGTCCCAGATTACTGGAGCTCTCTTAATAATCTTAGAGACCTCTTCAATAGATTCTACTGGAATTTCTTTAGCAACAACTTTGGGACCTAGAAATAATGATTACTTGTTAAAAGACCATCACACATGGGTCTTTTAGAACATACGCCACATATAACTTTCTATTTTTCCATGTGATATATAAGGTTTCACAATAATTTTTCTTCTTAAATTAACACAGCCACAAATATCGTTTGACTCAAAGCTTGGTTTTATTTCCCTCATGTTTCCTCAGATTTTTGCAGTAAAATTAGATGTAGAAGTAGAATTAGTAATCAAAAGATATTTAAATATGCTTCTTTATACTGCTACCATGTTAATAAGAAAATTTTCACTTTATGTACATTTCTAATAAAACCTCAATTAGACAAGCCCCAATTAACCTAAACTCTAGAAGGTTTTATGCCTTTCATCCCTAGAAGGAAAGCTAATAAAACTAGATGTCTACTAGCTATCAATTTAGCATAACAGCTTTCATTCCACCCAAAATAACTGTCCGCTAGCACTGGGATCAATACCTTTCAGCCCAGTTCTCTATAGGGTCTTAATCAATTATTCAGACGCTGATTCATGGTATAATCTCCAAAGATGTACCTTGCAGCTCATTATAAGAACTTAGGATTTTTAAACAAAAGGGTATTTCAGCAGTGAAAAATCAAGATTCCTGGCTCTGTCTCAATTTTATAATTTTAGATTAAGCAGAATTGCCACTTCCTCTAGAGTCTAATTAAGATTTTACTACATTAATATTAAAGTTAAAATATTAAAGTTAAAATCTTACCTGTCCAAAGCACCTCAATTCCAGGGAGAAGCTTTTCCCCCACAGTCCTTAAATAAGGAGACTGGGAGACATTTGGATAACAAAAAGTGCCACAATATTCTGAATGTGGGGGGAAAAGCAAAATAGTTCTGAGTTTCTTATGGCAAAAAATGTCTACCAATTATAAATTCTATTCATCCAAATGACAGATGTCTCCCATATCATGTCAGGTCCACAAGAAAATAAATTCATCCACACAATTTTATTATAGTCAATAAAACAAGCCAACAGCAAAAAAAATTAAAGTAGGTAAAGTTCACTTAAGAATCAATTATTAAATCTGATCTTCCAACGCAGTACAGATTCTTCTACAGTCACTAGAAATATGTTTACTAACAAAAACACCATTCTTAGCATTTTATAATTTTAACTTAATTCTAAATTGCTCACACTTCTCAATTACAATCTCAGAAGTCACGGGGAATGAATTGATAACACAGCTAATACAAGATTATGCCCATGGCTATGAGCATTCAACTGCAATTTAAACTCTAAGTTGGAATGAACTAATTCTTAGTATGACTTCATTAAACACTGTATTTGAAAACTCATATTGTATTAGCTTACTAAGGTTCACAGCTTGCTATACTCTGAGAGACATACATACAAACAAGTATGTCAGTCTCGGAAGTCAAATGTGTGGGAAAATGTGGGAGAGAAATTCTGAGGAACTAGAAGCTGAAGCATTATAGGGAATCATGAAAGAAAAAGGAAACATGGAACAAGGGGAGAAAAATGGGTTTTCTGTTGCTCAAAGGGAGGTTATGCGTTAAAACAGCCTTAACAGTACCTGATAATAATAGGCTGACTACTAGAACCCAGGTGAGAAGTGGAGAAAGATAAGCACAGGCAGAGAAAGGGATCAAGTAGAAAAAAATGAAACTCGACTGAGTCAAAAGTAATGTAAATCTGTTTGTTTTCAATCATCCCACCCTTTAAAGGAGGGGCTCGGACACACGCAGGGGCAGCTCTACTGTGACCCACAGGGGGCTATTAACCGAAACTGACTAGCTGGCACTTGAGTTTTCTATTCTTTAAAAAGGTCCTTGTGACACTGTCTGGTAAGCATTTGCTGAAGGCAAAGCCAGCAGTTTAAATCCACCAGCCGCTCCATCAAAGAAAGAGGCTATTTGCTCCCATAAAGATTTACAGCTTCAGAAACCCTATACAGGGTTGTTATGAATCAGAATTCACAGATCTTTCTTTAATACTGAAGACCTAATGTTCTTATACAAGCATGCCGTGGCAATACTGTGGGTTTGGTTCCAGACCATTGCAATAAAGCAAGACAAAGTTTTATATCCCAATGTATATAAAAGTTCTGTTTGCCCTATAGTCTATGAAGTATGCAGAAGCATTAGAAAAACTATGGATTATTGAGATTAGCAACAAAATGTGACAGACACAAAGGAAGCACATGCTACTGGAAGAATGACACCAACAGACATGCTCGATGTAAGGTCGTAAACCCTCAATTTGAAAGCCCACCAGTCTCTGGGAATCATACTGAAACAAGCTATGCCTATAGTCCCAACACTAACAATGAAGTCTTGTTTATCTTTTGCCCATTCCAACCAGGAAACCTTTTCCTACCACGCTCTTTCCAATTGTGGTCTATAGGGTTTTTAACAGCAACTTTTCAGAAGCAGACCACCAGGTCTTCTTACTACGTGCTTCTGGGTCAACGGAACCGCCAACACTGCGGTTAGCAGGCAAGCATGTCAGCTCCTTGCACAACCCAGGGTTGCTTTGCCTGTCAATCATCATTTATTAGTGCTTAGAGTTTCTCCAACTTAAGAACTTAAAAAACATCTTCAAGAAAAATGATTCCAACCTTCATATACCAGGGATGAGGAGTGGGAGACAAGTAAGAGAGGTGGAAGGGGTTATGTGGATAAGAGCATGCATACAAATGCACAAACGAGCCTATACATGTTCTTTGGAAAGCTATGTTATCCTGGAAGACTGGCTAAACACGAAGAGGCTTCCAAGGAAAAATGGAATTGGAAGATAGTGGAATTTTCCCATGAATCTTTTTGAAGTCCCCTCCCATGGGTGGCACAAAGGTTAAATGCTAGACTAACTTCCCAAAAGGTTGGCAATTAAAATCAGATTCATATTTGAACTCATTTCATTCTCATTTGACATCTGCTGTGAAATAGCCTTTCCAATTCAGATACACTGAATCTGAATCTACAGTTAACAAGACCCCTAAGTGGTGCTCATGCATACATAAATTCTCACTAAAATGTACACTGGTTCACTGGACAGTGTAAGCTACGAAAAAAAAATCATGTGTAAATTATCAAGGGTTCGTGAGAGAGGGAGGATGGGGAAGGGAGGGAAAATGAGCTGATACCAAGGCTCAAGTAGGAAGCAAATGTTTTGAGAATGATGATGGCAACAAATGCACAAATGTGCTTGACACGATGGATGGATGGATGGATTGAGGTAAGAGTTGTACAAGCCTCCAATAAAATGATTTAAAAAAAAGTAGACCGATTCAGTATCTCTGGGTGGAAATGCAAATCTCAGCAGAACTGAGTCAGAATGGACTAGTTTAATGCCATCCACAGGTGCCTTGGAAACAAGGCAAGCTGCTTCTGAAAGGTCATGGCCTTGAAAACCAAATGGAAGTTTGGAATAGAAGTACGCAGTTCTATTCCATACACACGGGGTTGCCAAGAGTTGGGATCAACCCTGTGGCAAGGAGTAACAAGTTACATAGAGAGCTATTATAGAGCTATTATATACTATACCTGTAGGACAGAAGAGGAAAGTTTCCGGCTCTCCTAAGTACTGATAAATTTCATTTGTGATGGAGACCTGGGCGTGAGCAAAAGAACTGAATACCTCTTTGTCTGCCGCGCACATATTATGGTCAATATCATCAAAAAGCAAAGCGAATGACCTGCACCCAAACTGAGAAACCTAGAAAGAGAGAAGAGCAACATGCTCACCAGCTCGTCTTAGCAACAATCACACAGGATTCTAAATATTAAAGGCTTACTTAACAGCTTCAAGTCAATTATCTTCCTTAGGAGAATACTCTAAGCCAGACCCATTAATTTTCTATTTTCAATGGAAGAAACTCCAAGTTAAACAGTTAGGCAACATTATGATGACCTAGCTTTCACTTGTGCTTGGATACAATATGCTAATTTGTTCTAAGAAAGTTCCTGGAACAAAGTATTTCTTTGGGTGCTGACTACAAAAACACTAACACCAGAGTTAGAGAAATTAAAACAGTAAAATAACAAGACTCAGAACACAAAAAAGCCAGTCCTTGCTCTAGTCCTAAAAGGCTTCTTAATCCTAACCCAACTCTTCGCAGATAAACCTGTCCATGAATCAGAAAAAAATTTAAGCAGAGCACCCTCCTCAAATTTGATCAAATAAGGGAATGACCTGAAAAGCACATTCATCTGAACAATGTTAACAGACACTGATATTCTCTCTCCCTAAAAATTAAAACACGGTTGTAGAAAACGAGAGCTTTAAACCTTAGAACACCAACTTTTATGCTGTTAGAATTCAAAATCTGATCAGGTTACCCAAGTTTTTTTCCTGGTTGATCTTGGAAAACTAGCCAATCGTATCCAGACTCCTGTGCATATAAATCAGGGAGCTGTTTTTAATAGGTAACATCCAAATTCTACATACACAGTAACAAACTGAGTAAAGTGTCCAGTAGTATGTATCAAGAATTTCTTGAAGTGTGGTCTGGAATCAAAATCTCAGAATCACTCGGATTCTTGGACCCCACCCCAGAGTGTCAGGACCTCTGGGGAGTGTTTAATAACGTTCTTTTAAAAATCATGTCTATTCTTTTAAGACAATGCTTATACGAATTGAAGTTTGGGAAACCTTAGTACCACTAACAAAGCTCTTTTAACTCATTTCAGAAAACATTCCTTTATCAGAAGCATTCCAGTAAAAAATTCTACCGAAACAAGGATATGTTTGGTTTCTTTTTATCATAAAAGCAGGTCAGAAAACTATCATTCAAAAGCAAGGACGTTACCTGGTCTAGTTTGCGTTTCAGTGTGGATACTTCCTTGGGGTTAGAGAAGGTGATATCCAATCCAGGTGAGATGGCGTAAATGAACTCTATCTCATACTCCCGTGCAGCAGAGATGAGAGTCATAAGTTGTTCTAAAGAAGAGAGTACATGTGTTCAGAAAGCAACATAGGTTCTGAAAACTAAAAGCTAAAAAAGCCTTCACCTTTCAACTGAAGATAATTTTCCCTAATTTACAATGAAGAAAATTCCTTTAATTTTATCACACTGTCATATTCAACACCACAGGTGGTACAAAATGGCTCCGTAACGTGCTCGAATGCCACAGTGCAGAGAAAAAGAACCAGTCTTCCCATTTCTCTTTGAACCAACATAAAATGTTTCCACCTGTCACCCAAATAGTTTATTCTTTTTCTGAAACAAACCAAAAGCAATATTCTTTTCCTTCTGTTGCCATTGCTCAAAAATAGTGTCAATTCTTAGTGAACAAATAATTTCTATTTCCTTAAATATGAGGTATAAATGTTGGCTTCCCCCGCCCCCCATCCCCTTTGTCTCTGAACACCTGAAATTTCTAAAGAAATAAATCTACATATACTAGTTTATACTGTGGACAGGAGAAAATGTTTCTTTCAGAATCAGAGTCAAGGAACAGCCCTAGCAATCCTAACTCATCTTAGAATCAAGGAACAACAGTGATTGTAAATATTCAAGTTTTAAAATGTGATTTTTTTTTCCTAAACAAATTTAAAATTCCTACTCTATATTACAGGATATGTCTTTAAATAACTTTCAGTGGCATCTTAAGTCATTTGATTATACTTCGATTATTGAACACATCAAATTTCATTACCAGCACCACCAAAAATAATTAGGCTGACATACTTAAATTATAGAGTAGTAACCAGTAGCACTATGAGGTGGGATAAGTTTTAACTGCATCTTAGTAATTCAAAAAAGACTTTCCCTGCTTTTAAGTCTTTGGATGGGCTTAGTAACCTAGTATCTTGTTAGCTACATGAATACACCATTTCATTCCAAGTATAAAAATGTTTCCTAATTCACAGAAGTCTGCAAAGAAAAGCAGCACGTGGTCTCATTTACACGAGGTTCTCTGCTGTTCCACCTTATTTATGAACACAAGCACTCCTCTAACAAGGATAACCAGTGAGGGCACTCTCCGTCAGTGCAGGCCTAGGCTATGGCCAGGTCTTTATTTTATATCAAGACAGGACCAGTTAACAGTGCTGTGCTAGGCCACACTGTAGTCTAAAGCAAAAGAATCGTCAGTGACAGTCATAGTCATCCTATCCTTACCCAAAACTACCCAGTTTTGTTCACTGTGGATTTTTTAAAATTTTGCATTAATTCTGGTCTTTAAAAAGACTGCACAAAATATCTTGGTTACTGATTTTGTAGCCCCTTAAATTTTGTACTCAAGGACAACTTACTTGTCTTGCCCTAGAGCTGGCCCTGAGCATCAGTGTTCCATTGTTAAACCAGTGTTTCCCAAAGTGGGTGACTGTCCCCACTGCCCCAGAGTGGATGCGACTGCCCCCTGGGAGCACTGGAATGATCCAGGGGGGCCTTTAAAAGCAGATACCTATGCTTTATCCTGGATTTTTAAATGCCAGGGAGGCTCTGAAAAGGCCAAATAAGTTTGGGAATCTATGGGTTACACTACTGGCTGAAGTAGAGTACACTCTATGACCAGAGCAGGCAGAGTCAGATTCAATTAATTATGCTTGGTATAGTACAGGACACAGTGAGTTAGGCATTGGTCAGTGGTTCAAATCCACCAGCCACTCCACAAGAGAAAGCGGGTTTCTGCTCCTGTAAAGATGTACAGCCTCGCTCTCTGTCCTCTCTGCACTAGGAGCAGCCCGCCTGCCACTGTCCCTCATCTCCTAAAAATGTACACCTGAGCCAAATTCGTCTCCACCTCTTCCCTGGTCAGGAGCACCTCCCAGCTGCTGAGCCGAACCTTGTCTGTGTTGGTGCAGAAACAGTCAAAGACACTGACAGATGAGCGCTTCAGCAGCTGGACAGTCCCCAGTTCCCTGACCTCACTCATCCCTAGTTGCAGCTTCTCAACCCCCACTATCTCAAGGGACACTGACACAGCTGCCAAGTTCACTGAGGCCAGAACTGTCACAGTTGGGTGGCAGGCTCCGGAGCCGGCATTAGGGCTGTGTTCAGGAGCCTCACTAACGGTGATGCCAGGAACCCTTCCCTGAAGCAGCAGCTCTTCTCCTACGCCATCCTGGGCTTTGAGGCCAGAGGCCATGGGGCTTTTCTGCCTCCCTTATGAAACTCCCTGGGCAGCCCGGGGAAAGTAATTGGCTCAGGGTTTGAGAGAGAGAGGGAAGACAAATAAATACTGTATTAATAAAGAAAAAAAAAAAAAGACGTACAGCCTCAGACCCCCACAGGAAGCAGAGTGGTGTGACCTATAGGGTCACTGAGTCAGAATCAGCTCTATGGCAGCGAGTTTAGCATACCACCTTAACCTTATTAGTGCCACTTACTTGCCTGACAACGCAAATAAGCTAAACAGTTACTGAGTAGAAAAGGCAATTACTACATGGTGAAAATGAAATATCTGGTAAAATTCTAGTATAACTACATTTAAAATACAGCTGTTTTCTTCACATTTTCTGAATTTGTGAAACAAAAATAAAGAGATTTACCAGCTTCCTCCACTGAATACATCTCTCGCCAAAACATCCTATGTTTATAGTCATCTTTCGGAGCATACAAGTATGTATTTAATTCCCATTTCTGGAGCCTTCAGAGGAAAAAGAAGTACATATTTATAAAAAAGCAACATTCATATGCTGTAAATACCAATATTTTCCTTTCTTGGAGTATCTCAATCTCAAATAAAGCTAAATGTACTCTGAGTCAGTGATTTTTAACATTTCTTACCATAGAAATTTTTTTAAATGCAAGACATGTCAACGGACTTAGCAGTTTTAATTAAAAATACAAAAACACTGGGTGAGTTCAGTGAAGCCCAAATCCTATTCCTTTTCTCCAGGGTAAGTTTGAAAACCATTTGCCCAGGTGAAAAAGTAAATACTACAGGAAAATAACTGTGCAATGAAGATCATCAAACTACACCTAACGTCAGTCAATGTCAATATTGCCCCAAAAGAAAAGATTAAGGGCTTACGAGTCTCCTTTCTATTTCATAAAATAAAGACTTACCTTCTAAAAAGTTCTTTTCTTTGTTCCATAACCCAAGGTCTTCCATAAAACCCTAGATGAAAAGCAAGAATAAAATTACTTTCAAGTTTCAAAACATGGTAAACTGTTTATTGAGAAAAGCAGGTTATGAAACAAATACTACAAAACAAATAAATATGACAAAGTAAAAACTGTGCAATGCATTAAAACCTAAAGGCTATTCTCAAACACTAAGGTTACTTTTACAAGTTACTCTAAAATGCTAAACATAATCTCTTCTTATTACCAATAAAGATCAAATATAATAAATTGAACTCTGAAAAAGAGAACTTCAATCTTAAATGAGGAAGGAGGAGCTAAGTAAGACAAAACGACCACTACCAATGACTATCTAGGAAGATCCTAGATTGCTTCAGCAGGGAGAGAAGAGATAAACAAGTGAGGTGAAAAGAGGATCAGAAAAGGGCCTCTAGAAAGTTATCAGACTGGCCTCATTCTAAGATCACTTTTTTTTAAAGTCTCTAATATAATCAAGGAGCTCTGGTGGCATAAGGGGGTTACCCCACTGAGCTGCTAACCACAATGTCAGATGTTTAAGAACCACTATTCGCTCCTGTCTACTCCTGTAAAGATTTAACTTCTCAGAAATCCAAAGGAGCAGTTCTACTTTGTCCTAAAGAGCTGCTATCAATCAGAATCAACCCTCCTACTACAGTAATTTTTTTGGACTTAATAAAAGAAACAACAACAAAACAAGCCTGAAACCATCAAAACAAGTTAGTGGAGTTAGCCCAAATCATTGCACCTCCAGAACAAAGGTTGCGGCTGTCAGCTCCCACAAAGGTTTAACAGGCTAGACACTCCTCCACTGCCTCTAGGGTTATTTATTAAAAGTGTGGTTCAAGGGAAAGTCTACCAAGCACTTGAGTTTTCATTCAACAATTTAAACATTGTTTCACAACATTAGCTTAAAATCAAGAGCAAAGGTTTTAATCACTGGAATTTTAAGAAAGCCATTTGTCCTCCAGTGTCCCAGAGAGGGCAAGACCAGCTTACAACTGGTCTTGGAGCACCCTACTGTGCCCTACCCCACATCTTCCTGAAGCTTTCTAACCAGTCTCTCACCTGCCAGTGATAAGAACCCCTCAGGGACATCCACCATGAAGATTTAGAACATTTTGAACACCAAATGCTCTTCTCTCTTTTTTGAACACCAAATGCTCTTCTCTCTCACACACACACTCACACACACGTAAAGTGCCAGTCTCTATACACTGTGTATCACAAACAGGAACATGGCAGACCAAAACTTATATAAGAAATCTTCAGGGCAGCAGAAAGTCTCCACTTCCTCCTTCAGAGAAGCTGGTCGGTTTGAAATGCCGACCTTGTGGTTAGCAGTACAACACTAAACCCATGACACCACCAGAGTTCCCTTTTGCCCTCTAAGACTTGTATAAATTTTACTTACTCGGAAATATGAAAACCCACCTAAAAACCTCTTGTAGGTAGTTTTTAATATTCCTGATTAGGTAAAATTTATACAAGCCTTCAGCTTTTCTACCGTGCCCAACATTGCCATTTCTCCCTCAAAGAAGTAGTCTTTGAGCATCCATTGAGAATTGCTCCAATATCCAAAAATGCTTCTTCAAGTGCTTGATACTAACCTTCAGAAGCCCTAACTTTGCTCTTTGAGGGCCAGGTTCAGCGTTTTTGGTAGATTCACACCACCAAGAAGCAGTGCTGTTACCATGAATTCAAAGCAAAGGTATGTGAAGAAAAGAAAAGGAAGTCTGGCTGGACCCTACAGGAAGGAGTGGCTATCCTCCCTCATTTTAGGAATTACGCCAACCCTCAAACAACCAAAATCCTTTGCTGCGTCAGGTCATCCTGGAAGCAAGGCGGGAATGGGAAAGGAGGAATAACAGACTAGAGAAATGAAGGCAAGAGCCCCCGTTTACTAGCAAGTTCCAGGTTATGAACAGAGAGCAGTTAGTAATGTGTCTTTAAAAGGCAGAAAAGGTTCTTACTTAGCCTCTCTTCAGTGCTGGAAATCGCTAAAAAGTGATTTCAAATCCCCAAGTGCAGCAAGTGAAGGTAATTGTGAGGAAGACTTTGTTGCCAACAGGGCAACATTGGTTCAATCATTTCAAAATGGGGGAAATGTACAAATGCCCTAAAAGGCACATGCATAGGTAATTAAACTGGAGAGTAAGTTGGATATTTGTAACCCTGGGATTTACTGTATCCTGAAAAAGCATACCAAATTATTTAAACCACAATAAGTTTATCTTCTAAGTCACAAGTTTCCTTAGAAATATACTCCTTTAGTTCTAAAATTGCTACATCCCCAGCCATCTTCTCCACTCTCCAGCTCAAGATCTTTGACGGCAAAATCCAGATTCTTGTACTGCACTCAAATAAGCCCAATAAATAACATTAGCTAGTAAATCCCCTCCCCTCCCCCCGGAGAAAGACAGGGCTTTCTATGCCCACGAAGTCACAGTCTCAGAAACTCACAGGGGCAGTTCTGCCCTGTCCCACAGGACCACTGTGAGTCAGCACTGACTAGGTGGCACTGATACAAATTACACAAAGCAGTCATGTTTCATAAAGTAACCCCAGTTCGAATACAAGCAGCTTCCTATCCCACTTTCTCCAGGGCAGGTAACTATGCCAAACTGTTTCATTCCCTACTGTAGCTGCAAATTAATGTATTCTGTCCTACAATTAAACTTCATCCAAAATATTATAAGGACCACCCCTCCTTCAAACGAAGCACTGTAAAAGCTGATGCTCCTAAGCAAGAAGGTAGCCCTTCTTTCCTTTCTGTATCTTTGTTGTTTTTATAAAGACCGATTTTATACAATGTTACTCTACTACACATGGAAAAGTGAGACAGCTAAGCAAGCCTGGGTCAGTCAAACTACTTCAGAAAATTCAAATAATATATGCTGACCTTGAGGAAAAAGACGTTGTACACAGCTGATATGCTTCAATACTGGGCTCACTTTATTTGCCTATTCAGATTCAAAAAATGCCCAACAATCTTCTGGTAATTGTCCTTAGCTCCCCAAAAGAAGCATGATTCCTTTTCAACTAGATAGAGCCTCTTCTGTCCCACTAAATTCAGTTGTCAAGATACTTTGACTCAAACCATTATCCTTCAGGGACAAAGTACAATAGCCAAGAAAGAGAGCAATTCTTTAGGCTGCAAATGCACCATCAATGAGTGGGGAGTGGGCAGTCCAAAAAAAAAATGTCGAAGCAGAGAGAAAATTACTCAAACTGGAGCCTGAGTGTGCAGGTTCCCCCCTCCAGGAATGCAAGCAGTCTGCGCGAGAGTGATTCCCGGCCCTCCCCAGAGAGTAGAGGCAATAACACTCTGCTCAGCTTTTATTTTACCACTTGGGCGCAGCAAACGATAGGAATTCTAGTAAAACCCTGCCTGAGCCCAACACCTCGCCTGCGGAAGTCTGGCTCCGAGCCCAGGGCGGGTGGGGTCTAATCTGTTAGTAGCCCGTAGGGAATACCACACCATTTCAGAATGGGAAAGGAGGCTAGCATGCCACTTCGCCTCTTCCCCTCATTTCAACCAGGCCGATGTTCGGCTCGAGCCCACTAACCAATTAACCAGATGCCAGGGAGTCCACTGACGACCCCGAGCCCACGAACCAGTTAACCAGATGCCAGGGAGTCCACTGACGACCCCGAGCCCACGAACCAGTTAACCGGATGCCAGGGAGTCCACTGACGACCCCCAAGTGGATCAGGGTAGAACTGCTGGCCACAAGGTTCTCAGTGGGCTTGCTTTCCATTTGCCTCTGGCTGCATTTGAACTTCCAACTTTCTTGGTTAGCAGCCAGTGGATCTGCACTACCCAGGGGCGCCAACACGTTTTGAGCCCCGTAAAGCCCTGTTGGAACTTGCTCAGAGGTGCTTCCGAAGAGAGACCTAGAGATCGGCTTCCGAAAAGGCCACAGAGCCCGGTCGCCATCAGGGCCGAAGGCCTCCAAGGCAACAAAACAGCAACAAAGCCCCGGCCCAGCCCGGCCGCACCCGCCAGGGCGCAACTTCAATCGGCGCCACCTTGCCCCGCGAGGACACGCACACGCACATGGGCACCCCCCACCCCGTGGTCGGCCAGCGACCCCACAAGACAAAGTAGAACTTTCCGTAAGATTCTAAGGCTGCGATTCTCTTTGGGGGCCGACGGCCCCACCGTTCTCCCCCGGGGCGGCTAATGGGTCCGAAGTTAGCAGGCTGACCAGCGCTTAACCCATGCGCCACCAGCATTCCTCCAGGAGCCGAGACTGGGTGGAACCGAACGCTCGCTCACCTTCCACCACGCCGCACAGAAATCGGCGCGGCCCGCCCGCCGGCGCTCCCGAGGCTCCGGCTGGGCTGTCATCTCCGGGGGCCGGGGCTGCCGGCGTCTCCAACGAAGCCCCCGCGGGGGCGGAGGCGGCTGCAGGACTGGGACTGAGCTCGCTCTCGCGCTCCTCCAGCGCCGCCTGGCTCTCCTTCTGCACCATCCTCCTGCCCACGGCCACGGCCACCGCCACCTCGGCAGGTCCTCCTCGGCCTCCGTCCGCAAGGCCGCTGGCCCGGAGCCCTGCAGAGGGCCTCGGCTCCGAGCGCGCGCCCTTCCGGCTCCTTCCCTTCCCCCTCCGCCCTCCCCCCTCCCTCCGCAGGGGCCCGGATGAGAAGGGCGGCGGCCCCGGCGCGAGCCCTTTGTCAGCCGCAGCCGCAGCCGGGAAGCCAGGAGCCCGAGCGGAAAGCGAGGCTGCGCCCTCTCTTTCTCCGAAGGCAGATGGCTCACGCTCCGTTCGCGCTCTCCGTTAGCCTCTGCTACCCTTCAACTGGCTCCTTCCAGCCGCGGATCCCCGAACCCGAAGCCCCTCGGTCTCCCCGGCCGCTGCTCCTACCACCCGCTTCCTGTTTATCCGCACTGCGCCTGCGTCGCAGACCGGCTTAGACCGGTCCCCTCAGCCCGGCTCCCCCTCCTTTTGAGTCAGTCCATTGAGCCTCGTTCAGCAGGGGAACTTAGAAGCCAGAGGAAGCGAAAAGCGGAAGGGACTGAAGGCAGTGGGATGTACCATTTGTAACCACCACCCTCCAAATTCAGCCCAGCGCTTTGGGACGGACCATTACCCTCCTCGAAGGAGGGGGGCATGGGAGGAGGCTGCGCCTTGTTAGGGCAATTGGGAGAAGCGGGGGCCGGCAAGGGCGAAAATGAGGTGTTTACTTTCTCAATGCGCAGGCGCAGAAACGAAACCTGTTGTGCTTAAAGGGATAGGAAGAGCTTGACCTACTTTCGACAGAGATGCTCCTAACACGTTGGCTCGTTGGCCAGACTCAGTTCTGTGCAGACACCGCTCCCAGGACCGCTGTGAATCATTTTCTCCTACCCTCTAACTGGGCTCCAGCCCGGGTTAAGAAGGCAATCGTTTGTTCATCCCTTCATTCAGCAGACACCTAGTCAGCTTGCTTCATACTTGACTGGGGCTACTATGAGCTCACAGAATTGTGGTGGAGGCAAGCAAGGGCACACACTGCCCACTTGGCGTACCCACATGTTGCGGGAGCTGTGGAAGGGAATAACTTACTCCTTCAGGGAGAGATGGCTTTGGCTTCGCTCTTGAACTGGATCATAAAGGAGGAGGAGACAAGAACGCCGCATTCCAGGGCAGTGGAGCAGAATCCAAACATGGAAAAGCCAGTCGTCTTCGGGTAAGGGGAGCTCCTGGACAGAACATTTCCCAGGGGAAGCCTCTCTAAGCCCTAGATGGGTTCGGGCTCTGCCATATGTTCTCAAAGCTCCCTGTACTTTTACCATTAAAACCTCCCTGCCAGCGAGTGGATGCCGACTCGTAGCGGCCCTGAAGGTCAGGGTAGAACTGCCCTTGTGAGTTTTAACTGCGGGAACAGAAAGCCCCTCTTCCTCCCGCAGAGCGCCTGGTGGTTTGGAGCTGCTCGCCTTGCAGATCACAGCCCAAGGAGCAGCCACTCCGCCGCCAGCGGTTACTAAGCCTCGTTCTATGGATGTGAATCAAGAAGTCTGTCTCGAGTTTTGAGAAAGAAAGGTGTTGAACTCCTTAAGAGTTTTTACTCCCGGAATGGGGCTTCTTTTGGCATTCCTCTGATGACGGCAGAGAACCAGAAGACTTGGTGGGACCGGGTTAGGGCTGCCTCGGCCTTTGGTTTCATGAAACTTCCTCTTTGCTTCATACCTCACAATGAAGCAAGTCAGCAACCCCAATTTCAGGAACCCTCCACGGACTAGATCTGGGGAAAGATCCACTTTCTAGCCCTCTAGCTCTTAAACTTGTGAGGGTTCATTCTGGCCCCACACATGACTGACACATACTCTCTCTCCAGGACAAATCACAAAGACCAGTGCTTAGAAAGCTTCTGATAAATATTTGTAAAATGAACAGATGGAGCCCTGCCCTCACAAGTTTATATGCTGCATGAAGAAACAGATCATAACAAACCTAATGTGACTCGGGAATTCAATTGTAACAATCACTCTAAAGAGAGGAAGTGATGATGTGAGACAGAGTAACTGTAGCAGGTAGTGGCTGTTACAGATGGAAGAATAGTGGCAATCTAGGTGAGAAATGATGGCATGGAATAGGGCATAAAGGTAGAAAAAGAGGAGGTGTACCCTTGGTGGTGGAAGTGGTGACTAGTTAAATGGGAGTGAGTGCACAGTGAAGGAAAGGAAGAAATTCAGACTAATGTTTTCTCCTTAGATTCACCACCACTACCACCATACTAATGTACTGTTATTGTTAGATGGCTCAATTCTGACGCACAGCAACCACATATGATTCTCCTATAGGGATTTTTTTTTGGGGGGGGGGATTTCTTAGTTATCTTTACAAGAGCAAGTCCCCAGGACTTTCTCCCACAGAGCTGCTAGGTGCGTTAGAACAGACCACCTGTCAGTTAGCAGTCAAATGTTTCACTATTGCACACGTTCAGGACTCCTTGAAAACGCATGAATTTTGACCTCAGCAACTGTACAGATATTAGTGCATTTTACTGAGATAGAAAGGACAAGGCAGGCATAAATCACTGTGGGGGGTGGTTATTCTCCCTGAAGGCAGTCAGTTGCCAGACCAAGGGGTGGGCCTGTTCCCTGCTGCTGGGGACAATGAGCTAAGGCTTGCGACCATTAGCTTGGTTCCTGTAGGTGGGGTTTACACCCTACTGATAATGGTTCCTATGGAGACCCAGAGAACAGGTCAAAATTAAATCCTAATCTAAATCTAGGATTTGCCCATCTTGTCACATGTATACCCCCAATCCCTCCTCTTCCTATTGCGTGTATGTCCCTAGACCACCCCCTCTCATTGCTGTATAACCTATAGTGCAACCCCTTCCTGTGATATATATCTTTACCTGTAATTAGGGGGCTTGCACACCCCCAAAGGTATATAGGCGTGGGTCAGCAATAGAGATCTATCTCTCTCTCACTGGGGTCTCTCGCTGGTCTCTCCCCTCTCTTCCCCTTCTCTTCTCCCGTCCTCTCTCCCTTGTAAGTCCACGTGGAGATGTCAGAGAGGCAATTGGATATATAAGTCTTGGAGCCCCTAAGAGAGTTCTGAGAATATTAATTTGGGTGCTTCTGCATTTAGATAGTGCTTAAAGTCATGGAGTTGCTGTTATGTGAAGAAAGGCTCAGATCAAGCCACTGGGCTCCCGTTACAAAGGATGAGTCAGCAAGGAAGGGCTGAGTAGGGGTGACCAAAAAGACAGAAAGAACCCCTTTAATATAACATACTGGAATTTTTAGATGGAGCAGCTGCCAAATTCAGATTCCAGCCAATGGCCAAGAAAAAATGATCAAAATGCCAACCTGTTGCTTGGTTTTTTTTTTCTGGATCTCATCTGTGTGCCCTAACTTCAAATCACGTCTCATCCCCTAGCAATTCTCAGTTTCAGATGTCAACTTTTCGTAAACTTTATTCTTCCCAGGCCTGACCCATACACTCATTGTGCTCATTCATCCAATCATTGTGTTTTTGTTGAGAATATACACAGTACGGCATTTACCAATTCAAGTTTCCATGACACTGATTACAATCTTCCATGTGGACAATCATAGTGACTCGTATTCTCTAAGTTGTTCTTCCCCCCCATTAATACAAACTCACTGTCCCCCTAATGTTCCTCTCGAATCTCTGGAGTTGCTGTTGTCAATGTGGGGGAAGAGAGGCTTTCTACTCCTGTGAGAAGTTACGCTCTTGGAAACCCCTGGGAGCAGTTCTTACCTGCCCTGTAGGGTCGCGGAGTCACACCGACAGGGTGGCAGTGAGTTTGGGCCAGCTTGTTCTTAAAAGAGCCTAATGCTCCGAGCATTTTTTTTAACTAGTTATTATTTGTTTGTATTTTTAATCGTTTTATTGGGAGTGCATACAACTCATCACAATCCATATACACATCAATCGTGTAAAGCACATTTGTACATTCATTACCCTCATCATTCTCAAAACATTTGCTTCCCACTTGGGCTCTTGGAATCAGCTCATTTTTCTTTTTTTTCCCCTCCCCCCTAATCCCTCCCTCATGAACCCTTGATAATTTATAAATTATTATTTTATCTATCTTCAGCTGCCCAATGTATTGTTTGATTTTATGAAGGCTCCAGGAGTATTTCTGGTTTGAGGTTTAAAGATTCCCTCCAGGCAATATTGTCACTGTGGGGGGAGGTCAGATGTTTACAGATATCTTCTCTGAAGGCAGTTAATCGCCAGACTACTGGGTAGGCCCTGCTCCCTGCTGTTCAAGGACAATGGACAGGCATTGATTTGGTTCCTGTAGGTGGAGTTCACACCCTACTGATAATGGTCTCTATCAGTTGAGCCAGGGAACTGGTCAAACTGGCTCTGTGGCATCAAGTTAGGCTGCCATCCTGTATCTAGGATTCGCCCATTTTGTCACAGGTATACCCCCAATCCTTCCTCTTCCTATTGCGTGTATGCCCCTAGACCACCCCCTTCCATTACTGTATAATTTATAGTGCAACACCTTCCTGTAATGTATGTCTTTACCTGTAATTAGTGGGCTTGCATGCCCCCAAAGGTATATAAACCTGGGTTAGCAATCCCCCCCCCTCTCCTTGGTTCCTCCTCTCCCATCCTCCGCCCCTTTCCCCTCCTCCTTCCCTTCCCCCTCTCTCCGCGTGGACCACCAACCTGGGCTGAGGTGAGCAATGCTACCATAAAATTAGTCTGACTCCATTGTTTGACTCTCTTCTCTCGCTCATGCTCTTGATGACTTTAATATAATATTTATATATCTCAACTGTATAATTGTGCATACTGAACCCGAGACTAGCGGTGGGGGTCTGGCCCCCCCCACCCTCATACCACAGTCATGGATTGAATTGTATCCCTCAAAATATGTGCCATCTTTAGTGGACCATGATTCTCGGTGGTTTGAAGTTATGTAATGAAATAACACAAGTGGATGGCTTTACCAAACTGAAAATTACTCTCTCACAATTTAGGAGATTGGAAGTCCACATTACCTACCTCTCTCCTCCTCTCTTCCTCACCCTCCTGTCCTCTCTTCCTCTGGCCTCCTCCTGGCTCTGGGGGGAAGACCCTTGTCTCACCTTCTCCTGGGTCTAGTAGTTTTTTAGTGCAGGGAACCCAGGTCAAAAGGATGAGCTCCTCTCTGAACTTTTCTTTCTTGGTATAGGAGGCCCCTCCCTCCTTTTCTCTCTTGTAAGATAGAAAGTCATGCAAGGAAACTTAAGGATGTCGTCTCCGTCTCCTATCCTAATTCCCTTTCAACTGATTTATCTGATCACATCATGGGGGATAATGACATCATCACCTATCTGCCAAACTACCTAAGTTGACACAATTCAATCTGTGATGTCTGTCTGGGGCTTTCAGTGCATCAGGAAGACAGGCAAATGCTCATCTAAGTAAATGAGGGCTACAACAGAAGTAGCAGGAAGGAAAAGCAGAGGACACCAGAGAGCCTGTCACAGTGTTTAGCTGATGCATCACCTACAGTGTTTGCACCCTTTACACACAGGTATTTACTGTACCCCAGGGCCATCCTGCTACCAATTCCATGGATAACTTTGGGCAAGTCTCTTCCCTTCCTGGATCTGTCTTCTGATAAAGAAGAGATGAGATCACAGATTCTTAATCTAGCTTCAAGGATACACACCCTCCAAAAAATATATGGAAACGATTGTATCTCTTGTTTCCTTCTGGACAGTGGCCCAGAGCCTGCATCAAATCTTGAGGAGGAGCGATGACTCAAAGTCACTTGGGAAGTGAAGCAGCAGATGGTTCCACAATGACGTGAGCAGGGAACACAAATGACATAATGAAGAGTTCTGGAAGTGACTTTTTCTTGGACATTTTTAAGCCTCCTTTTGTGGATGAGAAAGCCAGTCACCAAATAATGGTGCCCAGAGGGCACCGGATTCCCACCTTGCACAGGAAGTCTCTCTCACCCTGTGTGGCACGATGGCGGCACGAGTGTAGGCCATCTGATCTCTCCATTATTCTTGACTGGGTGTAGACACAAATGCATACTCATACTAGAGACAACAATGACTTATTTATAGAGGAGCCGTCATTGGAAACTGGAAAGGGTGAGCACGTCCCCTCCCCAAAGAAAGCACCTTGAGATTTAGAAGTCTGCGGAGTAGAAATTTTTGATTCACGTGTCAAATAGCACGGTGGAGGGACGATTCTGATGAAGGAGAGCGAGCATACCTTTTTGTTTTCATAAATGCTGACACCCGCTGTCCCTCCCACAGCACTCCACTTCTCTGGTGGGTTTGAGCCTCTGTGGTGATGGCCACACCAAATTCACAGGCAATATTCACGATTATGGGGTTTATTAGGGAAGTAACAAGCTCTGATCCAAGATCAGAAATGACTCAGCCAATTCACAGTAAAAAACTAAACTAACTAAAAAGTTATTGGGAGTTGGGGAGAAAGGCTCTCGATACAGTTTTCAATCAGGATAGCTCTTCTCAGCTGTGCTTTACGAGCAAGCCTTTCTCTGGTCCTCAGGCCCACAGTCCCTCGGCCCTCTTGGGCAAATGTTACCAAGCCTTTGAACTATACCAGTAGGTGCCCAGGGACACACGATTCCAACAGCAAGTCCCCTGCCCAAAGGCACTCAGCTCTCTCGCTCTGCAGGCCGGGACACCATCTCCTCCTGGAGTCTGGGTTCTGCTGCCCCTCCTGCTTCTCTGCCATGGCTTTTCGCCTGGGTCTAGGAGGTTCTGAACACATGGATCCCCAGTCAAAAGGATGTGGTGGCCAGGTCCCAAAGACAGCTTGCTTGCTTGTTTGCTTGGCATAGTCTTCAAAGCACCAATGTCCTGTTCCTTCTCCCTTATCTCCTCTTGCAATGTGGAACAAAGATACTCTGATTTGATGGGAGGGTCAGGTTGGTTTCTAACCCTGCCAGAACCTTTGTCTCTCTCCAATGTATGGCCAGACTATGGCTCTCCTGGAGAGAAAGGAGCTTCTCTGTGCATACGCATGCGTGAGGGGCTGTGCATGTCATGTCGAGTGAAAGAGACAAAAAGACAGAGACAACAGCTTGTGCATAGCCTTTGTGTTTTATTGGATCTGGTGTATGTCTTACTTTACAAAATATACAGAAGAGCCAAAAAAAATGCAAAGCAGTCAATAATGTTTTATGGGGGAAAAGTGTTCTCTCTCTCAGACCCTGGGAGTATGACTGAATGGGACAAGCAGGTACATTACGGGTGCTCACGATGAGATGAGAACTTGGTGGTATGGTTCCCACCCTCTTGTATGCACAGGAACATCTCTGGGCAGATTGAGGAGAGAATTCTAAAGGAAACCCGAGGTGGGCACTGAAGAGGCCAGGTAGGGATTTGCAAAGGAGCCTGGGTTGAACAGATTCTGATGAATGCCCTCCACACCTGGGCTCAGATGCCATGCCTGGCTCTCTCCTCCCCTTTCCTTCTAAGGCATTCACTGGGAACATCGTGGAATCCCAAGTGCAGGAAGGAAGGTCCCTGACCTGCTCCATGTCACCAAATTTAGAGGACATGGCAAATGAAAATCCAAAGCAACTGAAATGGGTGATGAGCAGCGGGGTGGGCTGACACTCTAGCAGGCATCAGTGAGGACATCTCCCCATCCCAGTTCCTCTGCAGCCACCACCACAAACAGGAAGGAGGGAGAGAAAGGAATTCCAGAAAGGAGCCAAACACTCAGGCTGCCCAATACTGAAGAGGACCTGGACATTTTCTTGAGCAACTCCAAGGAGACAGGGTCTTCTGAAGAGCCTGGTGATTCATATTCATATTCTGATGGCTATGGTCTGGCCTGCCTGAGCCCCCCACTGACCATCAAGCCAGGCCTTTCTACCCTCTACCCCTGCTACTTCCTAGAGCTAGCCTCTGGTCCAGGCCCAAGACTCCTTCCGCTACACTCTTGTCCCCTTCCCACAGGACTTTCAGAGGCTAGTCTGAAAGGCCAGCCTACACCAAGGGCTCAACATCCTCTCTGAGAAGGATAGTCTTAGGGCAAATGTTTAGGGGGTAGGGGGTGGGGTGGGAGTAGGGGGTGAGAGCACCATAGCAGGAGACATTCTGTCTAGTGTCGGGGGTGGTTTCTACAGTAAGGGTGGGAGCTGGGAGAACCACTCACTTCCTAAAGGGCACCACCAGATGTACTCTGCCCACTCCCTGTCCCCTAATCCCCAGCCCCCCTCCCCCGTTCCGTGATCTGGGCACAGTATCCTCAGGCTCTTGATTCCCTAGAGCTAAGGTGGGGACAGACCTGGGAAGAGAAGGGTGAAGTCCACCTGGACAAGGTCTAGAGCATGGTCCACCCAGGGCACTCTGACCCTCTCCCCTGAGAAACTAGATGACATTGTCAAAGAGCTGCATGGACCTCATGATGTTCTCATCCTGTGGGTGGCCATGGTGTGAAGGAGGCAGATTGGAGAGAGAGAGAGAGAAAGAGCTTGTCAGAGAAAGGGAGACGGGGCACTGAGTCAGACATGGGGGCATTCAAGGAGAGAGAAGCAGAGGGAAGGGAAAAGCCCAGAAAGACCTGAGGTGGGGAAGGAGGCAGGCCTCTCCCAGGTGTGAAGCAACCGGATTTAGGGTATAAGGGTGAGTTGGGGGTGTCATACTCTGCCCTAAGGAGCCTTCTTCTACCTCACTGAATGAGGCGGTGAAAGGGTCCTGTACCTTTTGACAAGACTCAATGAACTCCTCGATGGTCACCACACCATCCTTGTTCCTATCCATCTTCTGCAAGGTAGTGGCCAGGTGGGAGGACAGGCAGAAGGCAGGCAGGCAAAAAGACAGACAGAACTCAGGCAAATGACCTGGTTGATCTTCATCTCCTTCACTCCCAGACCTTCCCACCCAACCTAATCCAAGGCACCTGAAAGAAGCTCTCCACATGTTCCCTGGGGGCCTCTTCCCGTAGTGCAGGATATGTGTACTTGCCCATCATGTCATAGATGGACTTCATGATATCCAGCATTTCCTGTTAGGCCAAGAGAGAAAAGGATCTCTTAGAAGCTCCAGCCTCCAAACCAGGAGGGCTAAAGCAGAGGGCAGACCTCACCCTTCCTGGAAATGCCTCTCCATGCATGGGTCATGCTTCCCTCCCCCGGGACCTTGGCACACACAGATCCCAGTCCTTCCATTGCTCAGTACCTCCTTGGTGATGCAACCATCTTTGTTGAGGTCATACAAGTTGAAGGCCCAGTTTAGCCTGTCATCTATGGTTCCCCGAAGAATCACCGACAAACCAGCCACGAAGTCCTGGGAAAGAGGCAATACAAGCTGTATCGTCTGATATCTTCCAACCTTCCACCCACTTGCTCTCTGTGTTTGGTCGGGTAGATCCTGGTCCCGAAGCCCTAGGAAACAGCCTTCCCTAGCCTGCCTTTCCCAGCTCACCTCAAAACTGACTGAGCCATCATGATTGGTGTCAAAGGCATTGAAGAGGAAAGTGGCATAGGTACTGGAGTCTGTAGGAGGAGTTTGGAGAAGTAAGCTTAGTTTCCAAACAGGTGAGAATTTTAGGCCCCTGTGGGGCCCCTCAACTCCCTCCCTCATCACCATGGCAACCCCAGCTCCTCCTTCCGGAACCCTCTCTCCCAATGGGCTGCTGGACAGCTGCATCCCAACTGGTCTTGCCCCCTCACCTCCTTGAGGAAAGAACTGGGAGTAAATCTGCTTGAAGTTCTCCTCGTTGACAATTCCGCTAGGACATTCCTGGAGGGAGGTAGACCAGGCTGAGGGCAGAGAAAAACCTTTTCCTCTCACCCCCCATCTTCCAAGCCCAAGGGCTCCCAGAAACGGAAAATCTTCACGTCCGTCTCCAAGGCGCACACACACCAGGCAGGTTCGTGATGGGAGGCTACCCATAGGACCGTAGACTAAGCTGCCAATCCACAAGCTTTACCCCTTTCTGGCCCTACCCTTTGCGAACGTTCTGCTCCCCGTTCAATCCGGGGTGGAGGGATGGGGCTGCCTCCGCCTACCTTACATCCCCTAAGGTTTCTGGGGAAACCCTCATTAAGGATTCTGAGAACACCTCCCTCTTGCCCCAGCCTCCCCTCAAGTCCGCCTGGCTGGTACTCACGTTCTTGAAGCCCCGGTACAGAACCTGCAGTTCCTTGCGTGTGAACTTGGTTTGCTCCTGCAGCTGCTCCAGACCCTCGGGACGGTGGCACACGGTGGACAGTTCAAACTCATCCTCCACACTGTCTGCGGGGGGAGGGCGGAGGGGTGGGGGACAGCCGCACCTCAGGCGGGAGCCCTGAGCCCCCTGCTCGAAAAACCGACTTATCCCATCCCTCCCCACTCCCCAACCTCGGAGACCAGTTTGCCTGTTTCTGGGGCGCTCCAGAAGTCAAGGCAAGAAGTCAAAGCGATGGTGAGCTTCAAGATCTACCACTGGGTTCAGTCCAAGGCCAGGCCTGACCCCAGAGCCAGGCATCCGACTCCGCGCTAACCCCTGGGCCCTTGGTCCCTGGTTGGAGGGGAAGTGACCTCACTCCCACCCCCACCCCGCCTCATCTTTGTCTCGGAAGGTAAGCAGCAAGAATAACAAGGGTCCAGAGACCAGGCATCAGAGAGTGCTCCGGGCCTTCCCAGATCACCTCAGCTCCCCACAACTCCAGCCTTATCCCTCCCAGACAGTCCTCCACTCCCAACCCTCCCCGAGACCCTCCGCCCCGTCCGCCAAGCCCCAGCCATGCCCCGCCCATCCCCAGACATTGACCCTAGCTTCAGCCAAGCCCCGCCCAATTCCAGCCAAGTCCCGCCTCTGCCTCCCGACCAGCCAAAGCGAGAGCCCCACCCGCAGCCCCATCTCAGCCCCGCCCCAGCCCCCAACATTTAGTCCCCAGGCAAGTACCCCACCCCCCACCCAGCGCTCCCGAAGGCCCCCCCTCCCCCGCCCCCACCAGGAGAGTAAGTCACCTGGGTCCAGCGGGCGGGGTCTGTAGGGGTGGAGGGAGGCTGGGGCGGCTAATGCTGAAGGGAGCGAACTGTCACCGAGAAAGCGGAAGACCCGGGCAACTGCAGACACACACCTCGCCCCTCACACTCAGCAAATCTCACAAACCTGCGTCTTACAAGGCACACACCCAGCCCTGCACGCCAAGGCACAAGGAACGAGCACAGACAAACGTGAAACGGACTCCACGCACACATGCTTGTGGAATTCGCCCCCATCCTTATCTAAATCTACTTTGGTGTGGGACCCAGCGGCATCAAACACACGATAACCACAAACCGGGCTGGCAATATTCAGGAAAGTCCTGTGAGGTGGGCAAGACCCAGCTGAAGACCCTGAAATCTGGGGACAAAGTGAGGTCGCTCAACTGGAAATTACTCAGCTGGGGGCCAGACCAGGACTAGAAAATGCAAATGCTCTGGTGTCTGGAGGAAGACGGGCTCCGTCCTCAACACCTATCTCCATTCTGCTGGCGACATACATTTTGAGGCCCACTGCGGGCAGCCACACTAACAGCTAGCCCAACTAAGCCACGCCCCGGCCCTTCTAGCCTCCTGGTCCCGCCTCCGCCACACGGACCACACCCTCACAGGCTCAGCCCTCCGCCGGGCCACGCCGGCCACGCCCAGTCACAGATCTGGCCCCGCCCCTACACTGACCTCGCCCTCACATTCAGTTTTCACATTCCACGCACTCTCACGTAAGGACTGAGCCAACGCTTTCCCCATCCCCTGTCACACTGGCCACGCCCACACGCATTCGGGTCCCGCCCCTGGAAGCACAGGAGAGGCACTTGCTTTCACTGACTGAGGGCAGAGCTTGGGGCCCGCAGCACGGCAGCAGCTTGAGGAACCGCTGCTTCAGCGCTTTTTTAGTGGGCCCTGGAGGGTGGCCTGGGAAAAGAGAAGACCCCAGGAAGGCACATTAACCCTCACGGTCCTTCTGTCCCTTCCCCCTTCCCCGCCAGTCACAAACAACCCGGGCTGGGCGGAGGGCATTGGGGATAGCGGGTGGAGGTGGGGGTAGGAGTGGAATGGCAGGGTGGCAGGGGGTAAGGTTTGGGCAGCCTAGTGGGTCTCACTGGTGTGGGAAATCCATCAAGGTGGCTCTAGCACTTTGTACCATGGGACACAGCCTGGGGACAGCAAGACAGCAAGGAAGGAAAGAGGCAGCGGCCTCTGTCTGCTGACCCAGTGCCCACAGTAACGTTTAACCCAGGGACTGCTTGGATAGGAACATCTCTCTCTCTCTCTCTCTCTCTCTCTCTCACACACACACACACACACACACACACACACACACACACACACACCCATACACACAGTGACAGGCGTATATAGTGATAGGCACATAGAATGATAAATCACAGTGATGAATATCATACAGTGACAGCTTGATACTCAGTAATTCACCCACACTTGCTGACTTAAGCAGGTCCTCAAGCACACATGCACACTTTGATCTAGCACTCCTTAGCACAAACACACACCAATATGACTTAAATAAAACAGGATACCAAACCCCAAACACTCAATGCCATCTTGTCAACGCTGACTCATACTGACTCCTGTGAGTTTCTGAGACTGTTTACCGGAATAGAAAGCCCAATCTTTCTCCCACAGGGCTGCTGAGGATTTTGAACTGCCAACCATGTGGATCGCGACCCAACACATAACCACTACACTACATGATACACACATAGGGAAACCCATACAAGTCATCACACAGGGCAAGATCAAACCACATAGAACACACAATGACCCTGGGACATCATGTCACAGTGAGTTAAGGATACTATAACACACACATGCTGTGACCTCATTCTGACACACAAACCAGGGTCACCATGACAACTACCTATACTACAGTGTGACTTATCTGCAGAGCCCCCGTTTGTCCTCAGTCACCTTTCCTTTATGTTTCTCCAGCTGGCACTCAGAGGAACCTAGTCAGTCAGAGGAACCTAGTCCAATCAGCCAACTCATTCACCCTGAAAATCTGGGCCCTCCCAGACTTCCCAGTATGGATCGTCCTTTGAAGGCAAAATGACAGGAGAATTTGAGGCAACTACAGACCTATCTCCTGGCTGCCCTCATTCCCAGGCTCGAAGACCAGAACCCAGGATCACACCTGGCCCGCTGGCTAAAAGCAGTCTCAAGTCACTCCAGAAGAGGCCCAACTTTGGTTTGGTTGCACACCCATGTATACCCACCCCACCCTACCAAGCCAGGGCCTGCTCCCAAGGAGATGACTCTGTGAAATCACTTGTCGTCTTGCCCACCACTACGCACATCTCAGCTCTGGAAGTTATAAAGAGGTGGGAAGGAGGCGGTGGGCTGTGCTAGGGATCAGGGATGGATCTTGGTGGCCTGGCCCTAGGCCAAGACCTCCATTAGCCCAGACTTTGGTTTCTTGAAGCCAAACTGCACCTGTCGCCTGGGGTGGTGTAGTTGCCAGTAGGGAGTGGGTGGCAGCTTCAGTCCGTCTGTCCCTAAGACCAACTACCTTGGTCTCAGTTATTCAGAAGTTGGATAAAGGGGCTGCCTTTAGCCTAGTGAATGCTTGGGGTTTTCTGGTGCCCACTTTAACCACCTAACAGTCTAAAGGAAATGACCAGGGAGCACCCAACTGATTTCATCTTCTTGGGATTGGATGAGAACTAACCCAGTCCAGCCTCCCAAGTTCAAGGACATCTCACTCTCTGCTCTCCATGCAGCAGAGGGGTGGGGTGGCTATGAGTTTTCTGTTCTTACTAAACCCTAAAGGAAACAAATTCTAGACCTTCCTGTGCCCCCCAGTTTCTTTTACATTTTTCCAGTTCCCCCAAAGTGTCTTTGCACATCTTCCTGTCTCAGGTGGAACCCAGGAACAGCCCTAGCCCTGTGGTGGAGCTGGGGAGAGAGGAGGAGGCCAAACTGAACTCTACCTCTACAACATCACTCTCCAGAGCTGGTGGGGTGGGCTGGGGAATGGACCTCCCACTCCCAACATCAAAACCCTGGAGATCATCTTGCCCTTGGACCCTGGGAGGGGCACAAGAA